CTTCCCTGTAATTTAATTTCTCCACTAATATCGGAGCCTAGTTTTCCTAACCGCAGATCCAACCGGCTCCACCTGGCGACACTGTCTGATGTTTATATTTGAACCAATGTTCTAAAAAGCGCGTTTATGTGCGAGTAAAACTCCACGCCTTGACAGTGAACACGAAATTAAGCGATCAACTATTAAGTTGACCATTTAATACATCACTAGACGCACTTAGGTGCGCTTTATTAATATTTTTTATTAGAATCCTTTTATTTGAATGTATCTTTCTTTTGACGAGAAATGTACTTTTTTCTCCTCTAAATGTACCTTTCTTCTTCTTTTTCTATTTTTCTCGGATACTCACCAAAAACTTGAAAATTGTATAATTGACTAATTTTAGAAATTATTATGTATATATATTATTTATAATTTTATATGTTTGGTATGTATTATTTAAATTATTAAATAATTTTTACAATGACTGAAAATTTAAAGTAATATTCAAAATAAGAAAATATTATTTTAGGCCTAGGATTCGTTTAGGTTAGTAAATATGGCAGCATGACCAACACTTATAGCCATGCTGGCGATTTTGAACACAGAATACCAGCCCTCTCTAAACGCTCTATATATCTCTCTGTTCCTCTCTCTAAACGGTGCCATAGATAACTGGCAAAGAGAGAAAATACGAAAAGAACATACTGAGGAAATTACAGCGTAAAAGAAAGAGAGAGAGAAAAGAGGTGGTAAGACTAATTTTTCCTTCTTGTATTTTAGACTACTCTGTCCCTTCTTCTCCGGTGGCATTTTGCCGGCCGGAAAAGTTGTTTTATTATTTTTGTTACTTCCCATTACAATATTAAACACGAGCATTTGGTTATTTCTTGATTGGGTCCACTTGAATTTCTTTACTCTGAGGTCCCTTTTTCATGACTTCTCTCTCTATTCTATTTCATGCACTTACGTTATTGTCATAAAATCGTGTGTTTCTACATATGTATTGTTTTGATTTCTGGGTTTTGTTCATAAGAATACTGTTGGAATGAAAAGCTAACGAAATTTGAAAAAATTATGGGTTCGAAAGCAATTTTTTTTTTATTATTTATTTATTTATTTATTTATTTTGCATCGTTCTTGTTTGTTCTAGGTCAAGATATAGGATTAGCAATACGGCTCGTATTATCTGTTTAAAATTATTGATTGATTATACAGTGAAAGAAGATGAAATATGAAAAAAAATTTGCTGATTTGCAAACACGGGTGTCACTTTCTTTTGTTAATTTTCTATTTTTACGGTATATATCTGATGCAATATTAAAAAGATATCATTATATTTAGTTTCCATTTTTCATATTTATTTTAGGAAACAGTATTAGTCTGTTGATTTCATTAATTCTATAATAATCATCTACTTCAAGTAGGACACTACTAAAAAATATGGCTTCACGCATGAATTTTCCGTTCCTAAAACATTAATATTCGTTGCTATTTCTCTTTATCAACGAAATATTTGCAACCGCAAATGTATTGCTAATTTGAGGGTCACTGATAGTTACCAACGGATCCTACATAGGTAAAGAGTAAATATTTTACCAACGAATTTTCGTTGGTAAAATGTGAATCTTTTACCAACAAAATTTTCGTTGGTAAAATTTTAACCATACCAACCAACTTTCCGTTGGTAAATGTCTATAATTACAATGGTAAAAATCTATGTTGTAAATAGCCGCATTAGTATGAGGCACGGTGTAAAAAATAAATAAATAAATTATTTATTATTATTATTATTATTATTATTATTATTATTTATTTATTTAATAATTCTATTTTTTTTGAACTTTTAATCAATCGAATTGAAGGGCCAAAATATTGTTTAACCACAAATTAATTTATAGAGGGCAACTCCAAAAACTTTGTTGTGAATTTTCGATGTGGGATAAGTGAATTACTTTTACCAACAGATAATCCGTTTATAATTACCAACGGATTATTCGTAGGTGAAAGATCCAAATGTTAAATAATTGCATGAGACACAGAATATTCGTTGGTAAAGAGATATCATCATTACCAATGAAAAATTCGTTGCTAATTATCGTAATTGAAAATGACTAACTTTTATCAACGGATAATCGATTGGTAATATTCGGTACATCACCTACGGATATTCCGTATGTGAAAGATCCAAATCTTAAATGATTACATGAGGCACAGAATATCCATTAATAAAGAGATATCAACGTTATCAACGGAAAATCCGTTGCTGATTAACATAGCTGAAAGTGAATAACTTTTACTAACGGATGATCTGTTTCTAATTACCTTGATAATTTTTCGTAGGTAAAAAGCTGTAATTTTCCGTAGGTAAAAAACTGATTTTTGTAGCCGACTGGTTTAAATCAGGGGCATATGCGGCGTAATTGGAATAACATTGGCTAATGAAATAAATCGATATTCTCATATTATTTCTATCCGTCCTCTCCCTCTCCTTCACTCTTTTTCACCTCCTTTCTCTTCTTCCCTTCCCTTTCCCCTTCTTCTATAATTCTCCTATTAGATCTCACATTAATATTTTTCAGAACATGTTCTTCAATTTCCATATCTTCAATTTTCTTAGCAGTAGAATTAGCACAAAAATGGAATCTTTCCTGAAAACGGTCAATTATATTCAAGAAAGACTCCATTATACATACTTTTTATATACATTCTATCAAAGGTTGGTGTTCATTGCTTTCCTGATTATTTTATTTACTTTTTATCCATTCACATCAAAGTCACGAGTCTTCTCTTTGGTAATTTCTATTTGTTAGTTATTTGGTGCAGTAATATATTGAAATGGAAATATTTATCTTCAATAATATATTTTTTACCTTCCCAATTCAAATATTTTTGTTATTGTTCATAACCTGGTCGAACTATTGTTTACTGTACCAAAACGGAACTAAGCGCAATATAAAGAAATTCGTTAGTGCACTTAATTTTGAAGGATCATAGCATTTTCTTTGTAATCTTTGTTTTGATATTTATCAGTATATTTGACCCCTTTAGTTTCTTATGCAGCATAAGCAATGAATCAATTGAAGAGTCCAATCAAGGGAGTCATCAATGATGCCAAAGGAAGGCTGTCATGCTACAAAAATGACTGGCTTGATGGATGTAGTTCAGGTGCAAGGTGAAGCCTTTTTGCTTGAATTTCACTTTTAATTAAGCATCTTATGTAAAAATTTGGTTTTTATTTTTTTTATTTAATTTTTTAATTTTTTGACCGTTTTCAGGATACTAGCTCCAACAGCATACATTTTCTTTGCTTCAGCTCTCCCAGTCATTGCCTTCGGCGAGCAATTGAGTAGGGAAACGGGTATACATTTTTATCTCACAGAATATTTTTACCGGTATTGACATATGATTATTTTAGACATGAAAGATCTCTACTTTGTTCTAAATAATCATCCTGCATCCATATTGAAGATGCATTTTATATTTATCTGGAGAAATTTCTTTGATTTGTAATAGATGGAAGCTTGAGCACTGTTGAAACTCTTGTTTCAACGGCTCTCTGTGGAGTGATCCATTCAATTTTTGGGGGACAGCCAATGTTGATTCTGGGAGTTGCAGAACCAACAATTATAATGTACACATACTTGTACAG